CTTAACAGATTAAGTCATGAATGAAGTCCCAAAGAAGCTGGCCAGTACGCTGGGCGTACTCCCTGGTACGCCACTCGTACTGGGTCAACTCCCCGTTCTGGTCAAGGCCAGCGTACGTTGGGCGTACGTGCCAAGTATACCGCGCGTACGCATGCAGAATGAATGTTTTGGGCTTTTGGGGCCTTAAGAAAATGGGCCTGGACTTTTGGGCCCCGTGGCCCACTGTGAAGTATAATTCTAGACTTGGGAATATGGAATTAGAGTATTGGGCCTATTGGGCCATAATTGGACCCCTTTGGAATTATTATATTAGGACTTGAACTTTTGGGCCCATTTGGGGATTAAGGCCCAATTCAGAAATTGGGCAATTAGTGGGCTCTTAAGGAGCCCTTGTTAGGCCATAAGACGGCTGGGCTTCATAAGCTAGAATTGGGACTTATGAATGTTCCAATTGGACCAAGGGGTAAAATGGTCATTTTACCCTAAGCAGTGTTATGGATTCTGATTGAGTATTATTATAATTATGATAGCTGGGAGTCATCGGAGCAGCTGATAGAGGTTACTTCCCGTGAGATTCGACACTCAGCTTTACGAGGTGAGTTACCTTCCAGTAGAGGTGGGTCTACGGCCACAATGTCGGCCCGCTAGTAGGGATTGTTTGTCGAGTAGTTGTCTTTGTGATAATTACTTGGGTTTGCCATTATCTGATGTGTTTTACATGCTAGTATAATATGATGTTATGTGATAGTGGTAGTAAGGGAAATAGTCTTGGTTACCGGTCGATAGGGCCGAAGGGGTAGTATGGTACCCGGCTATGCCAGACAATATGATTATGTCATGTTATTGTGTGGTAGTAGTAAGGGGGTGAAATAGTCCCCGTAACCGGTTGAGATAAACCGGAGGGGTAGGTCGGACACCCCGGTATGTCTGACACGGGTAGGTTAGGCACCCCGGTATGCCTAGCAGGGTAGGTCGGGCACCCAGATATGTCTGACAGTATGTTTATTGTTTATTGTATGGTATGTGGTATGATGGGGGAACTCACTAAGCTTCGTGCTTACAGTTTACAGTTTTTTTTTCAGGTACCTCTTCAGTGAAGGGGAAGGAGCCGGCCCGGTAGCAGCGCATCGCACACACACGATTTCCGCACTATGATGACCTTGGGATTGTACTCTGACATTATTATTACTCTAGGATATGTTTTTATGACATTTGAGTTATGAGTTATTAGTTTGAAATGATATGGATGATGTTTTCCAGAAATGGTTTCTAATTAAAATTTCTTAGTTAAAAACGAAATTTTTGGTCTTGAAAATTGGGATGTTACAAGCACACTGTATGAACTTGATTATGAAGGACATGTCGGAAATGCGTGAAGTCGCTGATTTGGTTGCACTTGCATCGAGGGTTGCAGTTTTTGTTTATAACCACAAATGGCCATTAAATTGATTAAGAAAAAGACCAGGTTGGACAGAGATTATTCGTCCGGGTGCTACTCGTTTTGGTACTGCATTTATTGCATTGAAGAGTTTGTGTGATCACAAACATGATTTGCAAGCTATAGTTACATCCCCGGATTATAAAAAAGTGATTAGATTAGAAAAAGCAAAAGAAGTTAAGCTTATCATATTGAACGAAAGCTTTTGGAATAATTGTGCTATCATAGTAAATGTGATGACTTCAATGTTGAGACTTTTACGGATTTGTGATTCGGAGAGAAGCCGGCTTTAGGTATAATTTTTTTAATATTTTTTAATGATGCTTACAAATATATTATCATTTTTATAATTTTAATTGATGTTTTTTTTTTCTTTTTTTAGGTTATGTATACGAAGGGATGTACAGGGCAAAAAAAGGAATTAAGAAACTTTTTCACAACAACAGAGAGTTGTACACCCCGTATACTAACATCATTAAAAATCGGGGGATAGGATGTTGCGTAAGAGCCTTTATGCTGCTGCTTACCGGTTGAATCCAGTCTTTCAATATGATCAAGAAAATTTTTCTAAGAAACCAGAGGTG